ATTATTATTATTATTATTATTATTATTATTATTAAATAAATAAACAAAACCACTTCCAGATGCACATTCTTGCAGTCCCTGCTGCAGTATATGGATGCACACCTGGAAGGCACAGCTGATCTACATAAGACATAGAACAGAGATAATGCAAAACAGTGACGATTGACATTTTCCTTTCTTTCTCTGTCAAATCCAGCTACTCCTTAAATTGCCTTGCACACCATTTCAGTGGATTCTGTGGCGATAGACAAAAAAATAAGTAAATACTGCAATGAATATGCACTACAGTATTTATCACAAACACTGGGAAGGGGAGAGGGTGTGCAGGCAGATGTATATCAAAATATAAATACCTTTGTGCCCTGAAGAATAGAAGGAGAGGTATTTCTACAACTGAGCAGACATTTAGACTACAGGAGTGTTCATTAAATTCTTAGCACAACAAAATATAATATGAAGGCTGAAGTGTCTCACTGTCCCTTACAGTGATTCCATCACTCTCTGTCATGTTGCTATAAAAATGCTCTGGAGAAATAACATAGACTTTTATAATATGAACTATGTTTATAAATAGATATAGGCCAGCTTTGTACATTTTCCCATCATAGAGAACAACAAACAAAATACTGGAAACAACTTAACTGTTAAGAGAAAAGAACGCTCCTCCTGAGGATGGTGAAAAGGAGTTACACAATAGTCTCAAACCCAAAGCAAGACTTGGGAAAACATAAACTAAGTCTAAAACACATTGCAGAAATAATCCAGTTTGAGACCGCTTTAACTGCCCTAGCCCAATGCTACAGAATTCTGGGAACTGCAGTTTTGTGAGGCATTTAGCCTTCTCTGTCAAAGAGCTCTGCTGCCACAATAAACTACAGTTCCCAGGATTCCCTAACACTGCGCCAGGGCAATTAAAGCGGTCTCAAACAATTATTTTTTCAGTGTGTTTTGGATGCTAGAGAGCTTTGTGGTCTCAAATGTAATAGCTGAGGAAATTGAAAACAAAGGAAAGATTTGGATCATCTTTTTTTAAATCTATGATTCTAAGAAATATGAAATCAGCATTTCTAATACAAGAGTGTTCTCCTGTATTAAATCTCTTTTTATATATGCCACCACCACCCCAGCCCCCTGATCTTTAAGGCAGTGCTGCTCCAACTGGTGGTCCCTGGCTCAGGGTGAGACCCAGAGCCACAGGCTACTTATCAGTCCCTGACATGTTTCTGGGAAAGAAAAACAACTGTTGGCAATGGGTGCTAACATGGTACCTGACAAACTGGAGGGGGGGGGATAATAATACAGGTTGAGTCTCCTTTATCTGAAATACTCCAAAATCAAAAACTGTCCACATGGGTGTCTGAGATAGTGACACCTTTGCTTTCTGATAGTTCAGTGTACACAAACTTGCAGCATGCACAAAATTACTTTAAAACTATTGTGCATAAAATTACCTTCAGACTAAAGTGTTGTTGTTATTGTGTGCCTTCAAGTCATTTCTGACCTATGGCAACCCATAGGGTTTTCTTAACAAGAATTGTTCAGAAGTTTTTGCCTTGCCTTCCCCTGAGGCTGAGAGTGTGTGTCTTGTCCAAGGTCACCCAGACCCAGTGGGTTTCCATGGCAAAGCAGAGACCTGAACTCTGGTCTCTAGTCCAATACTCAAAGCAATACGCCTCCTGTATATAATGTATGTCGCTGGTTCTCCTGCATATAATGTGTGTTGTAGCTGCCTTCAAGTCACACACTCTATCATGGGTTTTTCTTGGCAAGATTTGTTCAGAGGTTTGCCATTGCCCTCCCCCTGAGGTTGAGAGGTGTATACAAAACATGAATCAATTTCATCTTTAGACTTGGGTCCCATCTCCAAGATATCTCCTGATGTCTATGAAAACTGATGCTTTTTAACTGATGTGTTGTATATTTTTAACTGATGTGTGTGTCTGTTCATTGTTGTTGTTCCCTGCCTCAATCCAGGGAGAGAGGCAGGTAAGAAATAATTATTTTTACAGTGGTCCCTTGTTATCCTCTGTGGTTTGATTCCAGGACCCTCCATGGATACCAAAATCCATGGATGCTCACATCCCTTTAAATACAAAGGCATAGTAAAATAGTGTCCCTTATATAAAATGGCAAAATCAAGCTTTGCTTTTTGGATTTTTTTTTATTTTTTTTTTGGTATTTTCAAACCGTGGATGCTTGAATCCATGGATAAAATATCCGTGGATAAAGAGGGCTAACTGTATCCCCCATCCTTTATCTGTGCATTTCGTTTTTGAGGGCGAAATGTAGGCTTTTGCATTTGTCCCTACTTGAATTTTCCTTTTATTAATTTCAGCCCAGTTTTCTCAAGGTCTTTTTTGAATTCTGTCCCTATTTTCCAATATGTTAGCTGCCCCTTCGGGTTCTAAGTCAGGAGCCGGCGCCGTTCCAAAATGGCGCCCCACGCGCACACACATGGCGGTGGGAGTCGTGCACAAATGCAAGTGTGTGCGCATAAGCGTGCGCGTGCCCCCCAGCACCATTTCCTCCCCCCTCCCGGCCCGCCGTCAAAAAAAGTTGCTGACCCCTGTTCTATGCCATCTGCAAATTTGATAGGAACTCTTTCCACCCCATCATCTAAATCAGTGGATACTGAAGGCTGACTGTAATTATTATTATTATAATATTCCAAAACCAGGAGAGAGAATAAAATGCCAAAATCCTAAGCACTTCTGGTCTCAAGCATTGCAGATAAAGAGGCTCAACCTATAATAATAACTGCTGCTTATTCTCCAACATCAGACAACCTGAAAAGCAATGGTTTAAGGTTAAAAAACATCCCAACTGGCAGGGCTCTCAAGCTGCCCCCATAATGGGCTGTAACCCTTTATAGGAAAAGTGGTTGAGAGATGTTATGATGATATATCTTTATATCCCATCCCCCCTGCCAAATAAAAATTGGGGCTCAAAGCAGCTTACCATTTAAAAGCACAATTAAAAACACAGAAAAGCAGTGACCAGATATCCTCCTTTTTCCAGGACCTGTCCTACATTCCAGCCTTCAGCCCAGGAGGAATGTCTCAAAGGTCCTCCATGTTAAGCCTAAGAAGCTTGGATTTATATTTATGTGAGTGATTTCAGTTTTTTTCTTATGTACTGTCCTACATAAAAATGGGGATTACTGGGCAAGCATTCTCCAATCATTCCCTATGGGCAAGTATTTTCCAATGATTCTCTATGGGCAACTATTCTCCAATGATTCTCTATGGGC